GACTCGATTGACTGACTCGTTCGCTCTGACTGACAGACTCCGGACGGACCTCACTCCAGACTTCAGACTGAACGGTATTTAGTCACCCCACCCCACGAGGGCATCATGTGGCACAAGGCCGGTTTAACGTGGGATCTCCGAGCCTGTCGGCTCGGCCAAAAATATGCCCTTTGAACCCGTATAAACAGGTTCAGGGTCGGTTTACCTCCCCGAAAGAGACTCCGCCCTTCGGCGTAGCCTCGTTCGGGTTCCTCCCCGCCCGAAGGCGGAGAGTTCAACCAATCAGCCGATCAGCCGGTCGCCCGACTTCGGACTGAACTCCCTGCTTCCTCTTGAGGCGCAGTATTTATTACGTATGGAATAGTCCATTATGTTATTATGGGTAAGGTCCCATAAGACCTACAATAAAGGAACCAACAAGAGAATGGTGTATAAGATTTAAAAAGAGGGAACAGCAGAGAGGAAAACTTGATTAGGGTTTACAACAGGAAGAGTGATCATCATTTCAACTTAGATAAATCAATTAGATAAGTACTAGCTCAGTCCATAAGACATGTAGCATATGAGAGAGGAATTTCAGCTATGACAGTCCAACGAGCCGTGAAAAAAGACTTGAATATCAAATCGTACGTGAAACCTGTGAGGAAAGTTGTTACTGCACGACAGAAAGTTAGAAGTTTAGAGCGATAGAAGAACATCTTGAATAAATTGAAATATATATATATATATATATATATATATATATATATATATATATATATATATATATATTTGAACTTTAGATCCTTAACTATACTATGAATAATTATTGATGATCATGTCATTTTCGTTTATGATCGATTTTATCACGATACTTCTGTTAATCTTGAGAGGAATTATATATTTGTGTTGATCAAAGTAGAGTTCAATAGTATTAAAAAACTCAGAGAATTCCAGTAAGATATTTTTAATCATTTCTTAGATACAATATTTCAAAGCTTATTGCAACAAATACAAATTTTTAGCTTTTCATGATTTCGATATATATATATATATATATATATATATATATATATATATATATATATATATTAAAGACATTTTATGTTTAACGTTCTTTTATAGATACAAGTATTTAAGTAAATGCTCTGTTTATAATAAACAGTATTAATAACATTTACCGGCCTGAATGTCTGAGAAATTTTCATAGAAATATTCGTCCTTATGAAAATTTCTCGACATTCAGGCCGGTAAATGTTATTTAATACTGTTTATTATAAACAGAGCATTTTTTAAGTACTTGTATCTATAAAAAAGAACGTTAAAATATAAAAAAATTTTAATAAATAAATTGTTGTCTTTTTTCCATTTCTTAATATATATATATATATATATATATATATATATATATATATATATATATATATATATATATATATTTCAATTAAAGGTGCAAATTATAATTTATAAGTTCATGAATCATTCACGCACAAAACAAATATAGAGGTTAATGATTTAAATGGCGAGAATACATCTTCGCAAAAAAAATTTATAAATTATAATTTGCACCTTTAATTGAAATTAAAATAACTGATCCAACGTGCAACTTTCGGATAATAAGTGTGACATTCCTGTAATTATTGAACAATATAGTTCATGCACATTGACGGAAAACCTACCAGTAAAAAAGAATTGTCTTATTACTATATTTGTACAAAAACGCACAACATAAAAATTAAAATTCAAACTCAGCGTTGCGACCGCACGTTCCAAAATAATAATACATTTCTCATAGGATTTTTTCGGATTGCATCTCTATTTTCGTTGTCCTCTTATTACCGAGAAGTAAAAAAACAAGAACAAATCTATTTCCATACCTGATGATGTCTGTAGGAACAGACGAAAGCTTGTAAAAATTAAAAGACCTTATGCAACTGGAATTTATGAACAGGGGATCATATCATTCATATACATGTTTGGGGTTGGTGTATCTTATTTATATTGTTTGCGAAGATGTATTCTCGCCATTTAAATCATTAACCTCTATATTTGTTTTTTGTATGAATGATTCATGAATTTATATATATATATATATATATATATATATATATATATATATGATGCACGGTAGAGTAATGGATAGCAGCTCGGATTGAGGAATCAGAGAGCCGAGTTTGAATTCCAGTCGAATCCATTACATTCAATTACGTGCTAATGCCCTTGTGAATTCTCTTCTTCAATACAGACTGGGTTCTATAGCCTTGGATGGCAACTGGCCAAGGAGAAAGACAACTCTGAATTCAAGACCTGCGGATGGTCTCTGTATTCGGCCCTTCAAAAGTGTGGATGGTTCTACACAAAACCTTCGCCACCAAAATCAAATCTCATGTGCTGGTGTCGGGATGTGAGTTTCCTAGGAACTGATCTGCCTGACCCTCATACTTCGAATTCGAAGGGAGAGTTGAATATATATAAATATATGTTTCGAGCTGCGTGTAAAGACGTTCTCCCTCCCCACCAA